GAGAGACAACTTCGTTCCGTAGGTTTCTTTTGTGCCACGTCTGATGAGCACAAGCTATGGACAGCATGATTTTCTCCTCATAACTCGCATTCTAGAAACGCCGCAGTGTGGAAAGGTGGGGGGAGATTCCTCTTTAGCGCCCTACATCTGGCACCTGCATTGAGGAGTTTCAACGCCGAGCCGGGCCTCAGGCGTGATTACAAGTGGTTGCAATACCATAGCAAAAGCGGGATTTACACACCCGCTGGAAGTTGCTGTGCGTAGTTGATGAGCGCGTGGCTTTGCTTTACGTGCAACTTTGCCTGTTCATGCAACGCATGTATTACTTGCGATTTGTGACAAACGGCGAATTAGCCTGCAGTGGGAACAGGGGCTTTTCAGTGGCAGCGACTGTTCATCGCTGGAATGCACGGCAAATGTGCAGTGAAGACTTTATGTAACCCTCTGAGAGCTTATTCCGGGAGGGCAACACCAACTGATATTCATTTGGGCTTTCATTAGGTCCTCTATTCTCAAGCGAACACTATTTAACTTTTAAGCACTGCTTTGCACAGAATATTCGACATATTTGACGCTTCAACCTCCTATTCATAGGGCTTCCACTGTGCGTTAGCTTGCAGTGATATAGGGTTCCAACAGAGAGTTAGGTAGCTTTTGCCAGATCAGCAGTAGTTGGGTAGAATGGTAAGCAAGAGATTAGGCGAGCCTCAGGCCTCTCACTTGGGGTTTCCATTTAGCCAGGGGACTAGCCTGGAAATGAGCGTGGCTTCATTTTTGAAGCACAAAATGCCATTAATATTCTACAGGAACGCCAGCTGGAAGCATCTCCACAGTTGAAGGCGGCGCAGCAACAGTGACCTCCACCTCTGGATGGTGTAGTAGGGCGAGGTGCGAAGCGTGACTACCTTTATTGAGGGAATCTCCCGAAGCGGTATTCTGTAGCTTAATAATTCCGCAAGCCCAGGGTTGAATGGTTTCTCTATGGTTGGGTGCGATGTTTCTCTCGCAACCCCCGTTTTTCCACATGCGCTGTGCTTACTTACGAAACGTTAGCTTACTCATTGAAAAAACAGGCTTATGTTACAGCTACAGATTTGAAGGAGGCAAAAAAATTAAGAAGTAATCCAATGTTTCAGCTATGCATTCTCTGTAACCTACAAACAACTACTGAGGAATGTCCCACGTCACTAATATCTGCGTTTTGCGCATATGATTCATTTGTGGCTCTCGTACCAGAAAATTAAAGGTCACCGAAATTTTTCGTCTCTAAAAGGAGACAGGCGTGCAATTTGCACCAGTAACATCCACGCCCCGATGGCTGGCTTCGCCCAGTGCGGCCTGCGTTAAGCGCAGCCGCCGAGCGGCACTTTCTGATGCTGGCGTCTTTAGTGTACCGACGGGAGGAACGATTCTTGTTAGTCTTGTGACCCCTTTTCACTCCCTTTGTTGTATCATAAGGAACGTCCGCTTGCTTGTTTCACCCTCCGACCGCATGGTCGAGGCGTTGAAACTGGCTTGGGGGGCGCACGCCCTGCCTTTCTCTCTCCTTTTGACTTACCAAAAATAACTTGGTTGACTAGAAGGTCTTCAGGATGCCGACTGCCACGTCGAAACACGATCTTGAGCTACCATCGAGGGCAACATCTTCCGACATCAGTGCCCGTGCATTGGAAACGGTTGAATCTCACAGCAGCGGGCGACTTGGTCGCAGGCTGAGTTCAAAGTGCTTTTCACCCACCTACAGTGACAGCAGTGAAGCTGGGTCACGTGAGCAAACCCCGGGAGCAGCTTCCAACCACAACAGCTCAACAGGTGGCCCGCAGCGGGACGCGTCCCCGTTTGAGGAAAAGGCAAAGAGCCCCTCAAGTAGCATTGCGCACGGTGATGACTGTACACCGCAGTCGTCGGATGCTTGCCCAGGAGCTGCCTCGACAGGACCAAGTTTCGCTGTGCGCGCTGGGCGTGCCTGTGGAGCTCTTGGGTCCTACGTAATGCTCTCTATTTTGACGGTCTTTTGGACGAAGCATCTCGTTGGTGGCCAGGTGCCGACTCCCCTTTTCTTGTCATGGGTGCAGCAGGGTGTTGGTTTGGCGCTCTATTCAGCTGTATCTGCAGTGGTTGCCATCCTCTGTAGTCAGCGCACAGTCGTGGGCAGGGCGTTTATTGCTGCCTTCCCAGTAGTGCGTATTCGGGCAAAGGTAATGCTGAATGTATTGCCGCTTTCAGTTTGCTTTGTGGGAATGATAGGCTCGGCGAACTTGTGTCTGCAGCGCGTGCAAGTCAGCGTGTATCAAGTGGCCCGGTCTCTCACCCTTGTTTTCTCCCTACTTTTGTCTGTTTTTTGGTTAAAGCAAAAAGTAGTTAGAGCTGAGGTCTTTTCGTGCCTCTTCGTGGCAATGGGCTTCGCACTGATGACGGCTGTTGGGTCAGACACAGCGTCTGTCACGGGTTATATTATGGGCGCCCTTGCCTCTCTCTTCCAAGCGACCTACACTGTACAAATGAAAGCAACACTGGTATTCATAGAGAAGGAATCTGACACATTACTACCCGCTGCAAAGCCACGCTCTGCTTACCGGCCAATAACAAACGAAAACGCAGCCACGGCGCAGGCATACAGTGATGTAACGGGCCTCGACCCCAACCCCGATTCCCAGGATTCTGACGGAGGAATCTTTAGCAAGCCGAGAAGCGCCACAATAGATATGAAGCTTCCGGCAGAGTTACGCGATATGGCGGAGACGAACTGGGATTACGAGGCAGCCTTACAGGAGGGCCAAGAGGAGGGGCAACAGCCAAAAGACGACGACCTCGAGCTGTTTCAAGAAGGGCAACAAAGACATAGCAGGCCGATGCGTCTGCAGAACCTAGCTGAACGTGAGGGACTACCAACAATTAATGGAGGCGCAGCGAAAAGCAGCGCTGGTTTAAGGGAAGCGGAGACAAGGGACTCTCCGCCACCCCCTCTCTCCCCAGTTGAGCGCCCACGCGCTGAGCCACTTTGCATGTTCTACAACATGTTAAACGCTCTCTGTCTCTTCCCCATTGTAGTGCTGGTTTCCGAGGAGCCCAAAGTCTTGTGGAAGCTTGCGGCAGAAGGGTCCATGATGAGTGGCACTGTTCTAGCCCAGGTTGTGGGACTGGGTAAGGCAGCAGCGGGGGCCTGGCGTAACCTGATGACCAAACAGTAGTTGCTTGTTTTGCGAGCGTAGCAATTGAGATCTTGGACTTAGGTCTTATTGTCTTGTAGGTAGGGGCCATTACCAGCTGAAGCAAGACACCCAGATACCTGAAGGCCAAATGTATTACGGATAGTGTATATCATGTTCCCAGCCCTTATTGGCAGCTTGGTGTACTGTGCCCTCTGGTATTGCAGGTGTTGTCACCTTCGTCCTGGGCACAAGCATATTTTGGACGGTTTCGCTCACTTCCCCCCTTTCTTTTTCCGTCGCTGGATATGTGAAGACTTTGCTTCAGGTGGGAGTGGCGATGCTTTTGTGGGGTGAGCGCCTCACACTTGTTGAGACCTGCGGCTTCTTATTGACATTGGGAGGTTCGCTGTGGTATTCTGTTTCGCGTTGCCAAGCCAATGCCCGTTAGGTGGGATAACTGACAGGGAAGCTGCAGCTGCTGCAGCAGCAGCCGTAGTAACATAACAAGGAGTGGGCTTAGATGTAACATCGCTTGTTTTTTTTGGCGTTCTCCGTGATGGCCTCCGAGAGACGCGTATGCTCACAGCGCACGCCAGTAATCATGAAACTTGAAAAATGTGTTTCCTACGTAGTGTCGCTAATGAGAATATACAAGACAGAGCGTATCAAGTTTAATCACTGCCTCTATTTTTATCTGTTTTGTTTGGATGACCGAAGGGGAGGGCTCTGTCTCTCCCAATGCAGTGAACTGCACTCTTGGCTTTTTCTTTTTTTAATAAGTTGGTCGCACATAATTCAGGCGCGTAGCTGCATCTTGTAGCTGTAGAAAATATCCAATAAGAACTAAAGGCAAACAATTTTTTGCTTGCTACAGTTTCTAGAGTTGCTTCATTAGATCTCTGAAGTAACGGCCGTCCTGGACATGGATCGAAGTGCGACTCACAGAGACAAAACGCCTCTGTAAAGCCTCACTATGGTGGATATATGGAAGCTTATCCCATTCCATTTTTTTGGCCAATGTGCGTATTCCTGGAGAAGGTTGGAAGATGTGCTCGAACATAGTCGTGCAGTGGTTATGTGCTGCGACAGTCTGATGCGTTACGTAATCTTCTTCCCTCAGTGGTTCTGTCCTATCCAGTTCCCTTGTAATTAAACTATGGGAGAGACCATGGTTTCTGCACGATATTTCGAGTGGTTGCTCGCAGGGTAGACGCTAGTCCCCGTAAACAGCAAACAACGGCTTCCATGGTCACTTCAGCGAGTAAATACTTGCACAAATCACTGGCATCAGATCAATGGATTTCCATTAACTGGTTTGCCTCTAACTAAACATATTTCAAGGATGACGTCGCATGATACTTTCCAGTGAGGACCACTGGGTCGTGGGGCCCAACAGAAAGGTTTACGTAGACTGCTCACTTGTTCGAATCTGTACCAGAAGTGGCAACCCTCCGAATTGTGGAAAAAAAACTTTTCAAAAATTAAGGTGGGCAAAATACTCGCGCTGGGCTCAGAAGTTACTCTTCTAAGTTCTCCATCTTTTGAGTCAGGCTCGCATTCGGTGGTCACCACCCAGCCGCCCCTGGAGTGAACAGTTGTCCGCAAACCTGTGCATATATGGTATATTTTTTTGAAATACGACTTATTTGGTATTTTTCTACTCAAGGCTCCGTTTGTTCTGTTAGGGCATCTCATTTCCAGTCAATACGACAAGCCGCCACGGGTTGTACCCAAATTCTCTTCCCCAGCCTAAAGCTTGGAGAAGTCGCTTTTACCCAGACTTCCTTTGGAAATGGCACTCCAAATATTATAACATTTGCATTGTTGTCTTTTCCCTGCGCGGAAAGGATGTTGTTTGCCCGGCTGCTTCAGCAAGCCAGCCCTGTACCAGAAGGATTAGTGTCCTTGAACGCGCAAGCAGAAGCTGCAAACCACGAGCAGTCTCTACCCAGAACTCATTCTGGACCACATCAAAGATCTCCTTCTTTCCCCGGCAGTGATGCGGATCTCAAGGCCTTTGTTGACGATTTTGAAGCAGGAGGGGAAACCGAGCTGGAAGAGGAGCAAACGCCAGAGGAGACTCATGAGTTAATTCTGCTGCAGCAGCTTCTGCCTGATTTGCTCCAGTCAAATCGAGTAAAAGAGGCAGAAGATGTTGTTTGCCGCTTTGTCGATAGAAATCCCCGAAATGCAGATGGGTTTGCGCTCCTCGCTGAAGTGTACTCGCATCAAAACATGCTGGCTGCGGCATGCGAGAGTCTTTGGGGAGCAGTACATAACTCTCCCGGCAATCGCATGCTGCTGCGTCTGCTGCACAGCACAGAAGAGCGGTTTGTTCTGCAGCAGTGCCAGCTGCCTTTGTCATTTCTTGTGAAGACCCTAGTAGTGCCACGCCCCCCGGAGGAGTCAACCTCTCAAGATATCCGTGAATCCATTTGTAGCAAAGAAGGCGCTCCAGTGGTAGTTTTCCGTCAAGGCAGTCATGTTACCACCCTCGCGAACAGGAATCTTGAGCCTGGGGACGTTGTGTTTCGTCAGAGGCCGTTTGTGCTGACCCCTTTGATACTTGAATCTGGGCAGATTTACACCAGTTGTTTTCACTGCCTGCGCAGTCGAAACGATCCGGATACAGGTTTCTCGTGTCCAATTAGTCCTCACACCTGCCCTTTCGTCTTCTGCTCTTGGCAATGCCTAATGCGCAACAGCCGCATCCACGCCGTCGAATGCCGGGCCATTCCTGTGTTGCTTGCAGCAGCCAAGGAAGCTCAGTTCAGCGCTACAACTGTGCTGCACCTATTTCGAACACTCGTTAAGGCAGGGCTGGAACGGCAAAGCAGAATGAGTGCGCAGCAGGATATGCAGAGGCCTCCAGGAGACATTGTGGAACAGCTGTTAGCACTGAACTCTTACCAGGCAGCGGTCGCTAGGGGTCAACCTGAACTTTACAAACAGCTAGTCGTCCTCGCACGCCGGCTGCAGCGAGAGTTTCCCGAATATATGCTGCTTTTCTTGAGGGAAGAAGAACTAATTGATCTTATTTTAAATATATGGCAGTACTCCCCCTTGCTGGCTTGTCCCTCTGTTCCATCAGCCGCCGAAGGACGAAACCCGGACGGAGCCATAGGCCAGATTCTGGCTCCGGCAGTTTCGCTGTTACTGCACAGTTGCATTCCTACTTGTGTCTTATGCTTAGAAGAGGACGGACAAGTTGCTGTTAAAGCCCTCACCTTCATTCCCATAGGCGGTTCTCTCTCTATTTCTCTTGAGGAGGACCTGTACAAATCTCAAAGAGACCGTAAGCACATCATGTCACGCCCAAGGGTCTTTGGATGTGGGTGCATCAGGTGTGTCGATATTTCAGAAGGAGGCAGACTATTACGAGGCATTCGATGTTTCAGCTGCGTAAGAGGCTTCCTGTGTCCCCACAAAAGTCGTTCGCTCTCTTCTCGGCTAGTTGCCTACAGCACTGCCTCAGCTGCCTCTGGGCTTAGCAAAGTGAGCAGCCTTGAATATTCAAGAGACCCCGAGGCAAGAGAAGAAAAAACTCGAGAAAAGATGATTTCTGCTGGGTTCAACTGCATCGGCGCAGGCTTTGGAACTAAACGGGAAGCTGGTGATCCTGCTCTGGTTGAGGAGCAATGGCTCTGCAGCAGCTGTGGCTTGGACTCTACAGCTGCTAGTCAGCGCTGCCACGTGCTTGAAAGTGAAGCAGAGCAACAGCAGGCTGCAGCCGAAAAATACCTTGTCGCAGGGGCCTACATACAGGCCCGCAAAGAATATACGTCGCTAGTGCGTCAGTATAGCACCCTCCTTCATCCCCAGCATGCGGTGCTATTCAACTCCTACACTGTTCTTGCGGGTCTCCTCAGCTCTGATCCGGCGGCAGATGCGCCCAAGGCAAGCAGCTAAGCCTGTGTTTCCATGGATTGAAGTTCCCTTTTTGCTTGTTTCCCCAATTTCATTGTCATGAAAGGTACAGTGGCTTGCTGCATAACATACTGCGGCCCTCGGTTTTGCACTGTTTGTGTAACTTCAGGCCCTGGTATTTCTGCGGAGGGCAGTTCTGGCGGCGGAGACTGTCTTACCGCCCACTTCGCGTATCAAGATGGACTTATATCTTAAGGTTGCGCAGCTTACCTACAGAGTGAGCTTCCTTGTACACTTGACCGCTTTTGAAAAAGGAGCAGAACTCAGAAGCTTATCTTCTGGAGCCTCGGCCTAAACGCGTGTAGCCGTAAATTCAGAAAACTGCCTGCTCCTTTTTGCCTTAAGTCCTGACATACGTGCCACCCAATAGCCACAGAGCCTTACTGTGATGCAGCTTGCTTAGTGATAAACTCCGGGTGGTGCATGCTAGAAAAGGGGCAGCTTCTCCTTCCTTTTGCTCATTACAGGCAATGCAGCTCAACCAGCATTGCCGTAGAGGCCTCTCCTTGCCTCCAGCATTCATCATGGGCCCCATGCATGTAGCGCTGTGGAACTGTTGCGTCTGTTTCGGCAGCGAGTCGAGCATTGCAATCATGCTGCAGCAGAGATTGCGACGTTATGCCGCAGTTTTCTGCCTATGTACACCCCCACTACTTTTTAGGCCAATTCTTAGTCGATTTGACGCCTTTGTAGCCCTTTATCGAGAAGTCACGAATCGCCAGTCGATTTCTGATCAAGTGCGTTGATCAATGGAGCTGTGCATACTTCTTTTGATTGCCTTTCTATCGTTCTCACCGCCCATTAACATGCATGTCACGATACTTATTTGTCTTTGTTGAGAGTACCTTAGCTGTTGGAGATTGCCCGCACATTTTAAAGGGCCCGAAACGGGAGTCTGTTTGCTCAGGCTATATCTGACCATTTCGCATCAGACCCCATGTTTGTTGCGGTGGCTCTTGTTAGGAGAGGTCTGTGTTATCCTCTCTGTCTCGAGATATTCCTGGCGCTAAAGGACGTTTCACACTTTCCTACGGGATTAACTCTTCTTGGCTTGGCCTGTCTCTACAGACAGGTAGACACAGTTAGACAGTACGTTACAAGCGCCGACCAAGGAGACCTTAGGTGAAACACAGTAGCAAAGCACGTGTGCCTGCATGTTGTGTTACCAGCACTTCATGCACTTCTCAACAGAATCGGATGCTCTTATTGCTAAACACAAGCGGCTCGCTCAAAGCTTCACAGATGGTGCAGCGCATATGCGATGCGCGCCCAGATTTACAATCTGGACACGCGTCGCACATGCGCTGCCCTACAAAGGTGCCAGCACGACATAGAATTCCTCTTGATTATAAATCTGGACGCGTGTCACGTATGCGCTGCCCTACGAAGGTGCCAGTACGACATAGAATGAGCATTGCACGAATCGCGCTAGGGCTTATTTGAAAAAATAGAATCACTCGCTCTAAACTATTCTTTGAGGAAACACTGAGTTAGCCATCATACAAAAACACACAGCCGCGCAGTGCCACTTACGTGGCCAACCTCGCCACGTAAATCCGTAGCTCTTGCCTTCTTTCGTGTACGTGTGAGCAGGCTTCTCAAAATGGGATTTGATATATTCCACGCAACAGCTCTCGGCGTGACTCCCTTGCTGTCATTATGTGGGGCAACACGACCCAGCTGCGATTCACGGGACTCCCTGAATATATCTTATGATGCAGAAGCACACTTCGGGGTAGTTTGTAGTGCAGCAAGGAAGGAGGCGGAAATTTTGCGTCTACTACTGTTACACTGCGACGAACTTGACAGACGGTATTTTAGAAGACCCAAGCCGGTTTTGCGTGGCGGGAACGCAGTAGAGATATCTTCAGAGCCCTTAGGACATGAAGAACATTCTCAGACTTCTAGAAGAGGAGAAACACAGGATGTGAGGTGCACGCGCCTAGAATCGCGGAGTCGGCTTTTAAATGCATGCACCCACTGGCTTCTCAGTAGCAGTTTCGCTATACATTTTGCAGCTAGCAAGGGGAAAACGAAGTTATGCCGCCAACTACTGGCTGCTGGGTGTTCCATAGACGCCCTCAACTATGAGTCTGCCACTGCTTTGCACATCGCATGTATCGAAGGACATCTTGACACTGTAGGGCTTCTGCTTGACCATGGTGCTGCCATCGACGCCACAACACATCGCGGCGAATCGCCGCTGTTATTAGGGGCCTACAAACTGCACAAAGAAGTCTGTGCACTGTTACTGGAGCGCGGTGCTGATCCGTCCCTTCTCACACGCACTGAGAAGCTGTCAGTGCTGCACGCAGTTGCTGCAGGAGTCACTCGGCAGGTGTCCATGACCTTCAGAGGCGCATCTTGGGATAGAGATGGTGTAACGGCTGCTCTTGCTGGCCTTGGCTCCAATTCTCACGGACTTGGCGTACACTGGAAGACCAACAGCCACGCCGCGGTGGAGGCTGAGGTGGATCTGCGGCTGCCGAGTGCAACCCCTGATAACCTCGATCTGTTTTTTTCCCCGAAGATCATGATTTCCAGGACAGCGAAGGCACAGGAGCTGCTTCTGATCTTCACCAAATACTGCCCCTCCCAGCTGTACAGGCAGCACTCGCGTAAGGGCTTCACGCCTGCCAATTTGTTACAGCGCATGTGGGATGACTTTGTCGCAAAGAGGGCCCGCCTACTGCAAGTAAATAACCTTCAGCTTGCAGGACAAACAGAAGATGAAAAGGCGGATGCTTTGGGGGGTTGGGAGTTCTTGTCCCACCGAATGATTGTTCTAAGAGATTTACTTAGCGCACGGCTGGCTCCACTCTCTCCAGTGTCAGGTGTGGCTGAGTACTCAAGTACCCCCAGGGTGGAGGATCTCGAGAAGCAACAGAAAGACCAATTAGCTGCCGACGCCCCATGGCTTTTCCAGAAGCTGCTGTCCAAGCGCGCCTCACCTGAAAAACAAAGCCCCCAACAAACGGTGCTTCAGGGGAAAGAGCAAGGCAAGCAGGGGTAGAACCATAACTCGCCAGGTTTTGACAGTGACGCTCAATCTCAGCAACACTATGCACAGCCGCAGCAGGCCCTGCAAATGATATCCAGCCCACCTGTGCGACTTCCAAGGATCTACTGGCATTAACGGTCTCTCTACCTGCAGCTGACCGTGAGATTAGGGGCAAGCAAAATTACCTGAAGGGTCAACAGCAGCACAAGCAATTCCTCCTGTCCTGATCATCACTTTCGAACAACCTGACACGGAGGAGCTGTCAAGTACTCGCCTCGCGCCAAAGAGTGTGGGGCCGGCCCGGAAAAGCCAGAAAGCTCTTACCTCACGGAAGGGGCCTTAGCGCGTAGCTATCAATGATTCTCTGAAAATAGATGGCCCGCTACGGTTCCCCTAGTCTGGCTCTCCAAGTCTAGAAGAGAATTTTTGCCGCGCCTAGAAAACGGACACACTGGGCAGAGGGGCTGTGAAGAAGAGGTATAGTTCGATTTCGAAGTGGCTGTACCTGTAGACTTCCTGCCGGCCAGGTCAGCCATATTGTACTCTTTTTGTGGTCAGCAAGATGGCAAGATGTTTGCGCGTTCACTACTGGACAACTACGCTTCTGCGGAAGCTTGTGCTACATCTGGAGTTTCACCTCATGCAAACTACGTTCCTTGCCGCAGCAGTGCACTCAGATTAATGCCATCAAGTGTCCAGGACAGGCAAAAGTGTACTTAGTGGCATTATTCTTACTGTCGACTTTTACAAATGTAGTTCTAGAGTGTTGAAGACTTGTCGCAAGAAGGCACGTTGGCAGCACTGTGCATAATGAACCTGGAATTGTGTTGTCGGGATCGTAAACCCTAAAATCCGAAAAGTCCCATTTGTATACTTGCAAGCATATCCGCAAGCATGTCCGCATTTCTAGCGGCATTCTTTGATTTGTTTATCCTTTTACTCGCCCGTGGGGGAAACAGAGCAACCGCTCTTCTTGACTTGCACTAACTTTAGCAGCATTGCTTTTATCACCTTGTCCTGTTGCGGCCGGTAGCCAGAGGCTCTAACGTTTTGTGAGGCTTTATGTTTCAGTTTCTCGTCGTAGTTTTGCATCCATGAGCTGTTTTCGTGAGGGGTGTGAGCGTGGCTGTTCGTGAGCAAGAAAGTCCTTGGTAAATATGGCCTCAAGATGCTACATGGCAGCTTTTATGCATTAGCTTCAGATTCATGCTTTGCCTGAGCAGTCTGTCGAAACAATCTCCGAGTCCTGTAGCAACCGCAATGATTTAGTCGTCAAGGTAGTCGGTGAAACGCAGGCGTCAGCGACTTTAATTTGCTGACGTCTCTTGCGTGCACACTGAGTTAGTCAGGGCTGGCGTAGTTCCGGTGGTCCTCATTGACTGCTCTACAGCTACCGCACTCCACTATGTCAGCCCTGACGCTCGCTGGTGCGCACGCCACGCTGGAATATAGCTGTCCATTGCAACTGTAGAGGCATATGTAGATACCCATATTACCGCTATAATAAAGGCTAAGCTGAGCACGGTATTCTGAGGGGAGGAAAGTTGAAGATGTTGGGAACGGCACAGCGTGGCACCCAACATGATGAAGTAAAATTTAAGGGATGGAGCTCAGCATTGCAAGCATACATTAGTAGACATAATGAACTCGTCAGCATAATCAAATGCTACTGAATGAGCGCTGTGAATCTGCTGCTCCGGTTCGTCCGCGGCACACATGAGCTGAACGCTCGCTGTTCAGTGCTGCAGCTGTCGGGCTTCAACCAAAGTGTTACTTTGGAGCCGCTCATGTACTAACTTCATCATTTTGTCTTTGTCCTATAATACAGTTGTCACGCCTTTACCCTTTGTCGTTTTTTACTGGGAGAGGATAGGAAGATACCGCTGACTGTACGAACTGCTCTGCTGGTGTGATTACTCAAACGCCATGTTGCATGCCTTTCTTGTCCTTGAAAATGAGCCCAGTGCTTATTTAGCTCTGA